CTTTCTGCCACACCTCTGAAAATCCAGCCCACTGAGGAGGGCATCAAAATCTACACTGATGTCAAGTACTACACAGACTACATGAAAACCACCTGGTACCACAAGTAAGTCCCCAAAAAATATTTGCAAAGTTTTTGGAGCACTGTTCCTTCTAACTGGTTATCCAAAATGAAACATTTGGGCCTGAGCCCATACATTTTTTCTGGTTTTGTCTGAGTAAGGGCTGAAATCCACAATTCACTCCCATCCTGGAACAAGTCTGGGAATTCCAGAGTGGAAAGTCATGTTATTTTTATGGTAGCACTGCAGAAATATTTATAAGTGATCATCTTTCCTAGAATAATAATGATGCTGCACTTATGGTACTGCTCAGTTACAGCCTCCTTGGTTACAGACAGAACTTTTTCAAACACTTTATTTTTACTACTTCATGTTTTCCTAAACCACTCTCTTCCCCCACTCTGAATAAAAAATATTCCCAAAATTACAAAATTCTTCCCAAACACTGAATAATTTAGCCTCCTAATGTCTTCCTAAATAGAGAGCTGGTGTTTTATTAGATACCACCTACACATGGAGATAAGGAGGTGAACTTTTAATAACACTCAAGGGCTAAATACTTACAAATATTCAACATCTAAATGGGATTTAATCCCTTAAATAACAACTAGGAGGTCTTTTGTAGAGTTTATGAAGCTCTGGCAAACTGCCTCCAAGTGCAGCCCCATGGATTTCCTCTCTTGTTGGAAGCAAAGGGAGATGACCCATCTTTGTTGATCAGCATGGAACTCTAAGTTTATTGATCTAAAAGGCATATTTTTATAACTGTGTTAATTAAGATCATACATATTGCAAAATTCGAGCTCACGATAAGCTACAGAGCAAACACTAACCCCTCCTTTTATTTTCAATACTTGTAGTTTGTTATTGAATCCAAGATTTATTTTCTCACCCTGTTATAAAAGTTCTCGAAGCTTCCATGTTATTGAAGACAGACTTGAGAACTTAGCTGTTTGGTGGGAATTAAGTTGCTAGAGACTAGAAAATTACAAAGCTGCGGCTAATTCCAAGTTTTGCACCTGTGAGATAGCGCGTCCTTGGGCCTAGCTGTAGTAAGATAACAAATAGTGAAAGAGACATGAGAAAAGAGAGATGTAACCCCTAAGGAATGAGGAAGAGTTTGGTATAGTTTAACCAATAGATTGCTTGGCTTACAGAATATTCATAAGCTTATTATTTGCTGTATAAGCGTTTGATACTTTCTACAATAAACTGGACCTGTGATGAACCATCTGGTGTCCTGGTCCCCTTGCTACGGCAGCTGTTTACAAAAACAGGCTGTGAGAACTTGCTCCTCACAGCTGCCTTTTAAGCCATTTCTGAGCAAAATTCTCTAACACTCTCTCCATGAAATAAATCCTGACTCCCACTGGAAAATGTGATTTCTCAGCTCTGCTGAAATGACAGCAGTGCCATCACTTGCTCTCTCAGGGAGAAGCAGCTGGAGAGCCGGGACAGGACCAGAGCTGGGAGCACCATGAACCAGCTCTGGCTGCACATCCTGGAGCCCGGGGAGGCCGACAAGGGCAAATACACCCTGGAGATATTCGATGGCAGCAGCTCCCACAGACTGACAGCAGACCTGGCAGGGCAAGGTGAGCTGAGTCACCCCTGAGCTGCTTTCCAGGAGCCCTCAGAGCAGGGATTGCTCTCCCTCCTGGAGCTGGAGCTGATCTCCATGTGCAATCCCTGGGGAATTGGGCTGAGGGGGACAGGGAAGAGCCCACAGCAGCACGAGGAGAGGGGAAAGGACTGAAGCCTTTAGGGAGCCTTGGCACTGCTGGGGAAAGGATGAGAACGGGACAGCTCCTCCTGGGACATGTCCAATTCCTCCCCTGGACAACAAATCTCACAGGTGGCATCTTGGAAAAGAGAACTTCCAGGTTCACAAAGGCTTTTCCAAACTGTTGGAGGTTTTTATCCTCCTCTAAACTTCTCTTTGGGAAGAGCAAACTCAGCCCCACTTATTTCAGTACACAAACAGAGCTGTGATTCCTCAAGGCAGGGGCAGATACCATCTATGGGATAATTACATTTATCCATGGAATCCCAGCACTGAAAACAATAACATAATGCTAAATCTAATGAGTCAAACAAAACTAAAGGCAACTTTCCCTAACACCTTTCATTCCTGCAGCTTTTGAAGATGCCCTGGCTGAGCACAAGAGGCTGAAGTAAGTTCCTCCTAAATATTTTCACAGCTAAATCTATTTTGAGTCTCACACTGTAAATTGTTCATATAATGGCTAATAAATAAAACCACAATAATTTTCTCTCCCTTTCAGGGAAGCAGCAATAGCAGAGAAGCGTAAGTAAACGAATCTCTTCCCTTCAGTGAAACACAGCCAGGTTTGCTGATAAGAAGAACTAAAATGTTCTATTTGTTCATTCCCAGGTCGTGCCAGAGTCGTTCAAGGTCTGCCAGATGTTGCCACCATCATGGAGGACAAGGTGATATTGAGTAACTCCATGAATTCCTTGCACAGACACAGAGGGATCACTGAGGGGGAGGAAAGATCCTGTTTTACCCTCCTGTGCACTGCCAGGGGTGGGAAGTGCTGCCCTCCTGGGTCACCCTCACTGCCAGACCCTTTCTGTTGTCCCCCCATCTCACAGGATTAGACTCTGAAGGCCTTTAGGTGCTGGGCCTGATTCTCCCATCAGCCCAACTCCCTTCTTCCAATTCTGAGTCACATTTCCCTTTTCTCAGGCAGCACAAACCCCTGCAAATAACTGCAAACTCACCCTGGGCCTGTTTCAGTGCCACCTCACAGCACAGGCAGCTATAAAAAACCAGTGAGACAAATATGAGTCAGGCCCAGTGAATTCAGGTTAATCCTGATTGCACTGCAGGAAATCAGGAAAAGGAATATCAGATATCAGTGCTGGAATGTCACCAATGAAAATGTGAGAACTGATTTTTATTGTTCTTAATTTAAAAGATGTATGGATGTGCACTTGGGGATGAGGTTCAGTGGTGGCTGAAGAGCTGGCCTCAATTTTAAAGTTTTTCTCCAACCTAAATTATGCTGATTCTATGAACTGAATTTCCCTGCACATTTACAGCTCTATAATCCATTTCTGTTCTGTGAACTGAATTTCCCTGCACATTTACAGCTCCACAATCCATTTCTGCTCTGTGAACTGAATTCCCTGCACACTTACAGCTCCACAATCCATTTCTGTTCTGTGAACTGAATTTCATTACACATTTACAGCTCCACAATCCATTTCTGTTGTATGAACTGAATTCCCTGCACATTTACAGCTCCACAATCGATTTTTGTTCTCTGTTTCACCACAGACCCTGTGCTTAACCTGCTGTGTGTCTGGAGACCCCTACCCAGAGATCACCTGGTTCAAAAACGAGAAGGTCATCGAGTTTAAGGACAGATACAAGATGGATGTGAAGGGCTCAATGGTCACAATCACCATAGAGAGAGTGTGCAATGAAGACACAGGAAAATACAGCATCTATGTCAAGAATAAATATGGCTCTGAAACAGGGCAGGTCACCATCAGTGTCTATAAACACGGGGAGATCCCAATAGGAACAGAGCAGGAAATCCCAGCTGGGATTGCCACAAAGAAGCGTAAATGAATTCATTGTCTCCTTGAAATGGAAAGGAATTTAACTCCTTCAGATGCCTTTTGGTGTCTCTGTGTTTATTGTAGCAGTATTTCAGTGGTTTGGCAGTTGTTATAGAACAATTCTGGGGTGTGTATGTGTGTGTGTGAGCTCACACGTGTGTGCACTGCATGTTCACCCTCCAGAGAGACTCTGCCCTGGTAAATCTGTGTGGGGCTTTCAGAGGAGGGGTTTTGTATTAAATCTCTACATGTAACAGATTTTCTTGTAGCCTCTGTGTGTGTGTCATTAAACTCAACCCCTTGGTGACATCTCAGCACTGCTTTGAGTATAGCCATGATGAAATCACTACACCTGAGAAATCAGGACACACTCCACACATAAAAATGACCCTGCAAATCAGGAATTCTCACAGGTAAATGTAGTTACAAATCTGGCTCTTTCTGTGTGAACCTTCTTTAAAATTACCTACTAAAAAAGGGTGGTGAGTTGGTAAGAAGAAGCTGAGCTTGTGAATTGTGTCTCTATTTAAATAGAATGAAAAGTTAACTCAGAGAGGTCACCCACCCCTGGGATAAGGCTCTGTTTGAATTAAGCAATCTAATTGCAAGGCACATCTAATGAGAGTCTTCCAAAATCAACAGTCAGGCCTGCACAGACAGCAAGGAACATCACAAGGGCTGGAGTGAGTGAAGAAATCCTTGTGCAGTTGGTGAGAAGAAAAAACAACACATCCTATTTGCTTCCTGCATTCACTCTCCCAGCAATGTTCCCTGTTTCATCTTTTATCTTCTATTAAAATAAAAAGTAAAAAGAAGCTGAGTTTAATTCAATTCCATTAGATGCACATCACTGACATCTGCTGGATAAGTCATCACTCATGTCCCACTCCAACATGATTTTGCCTGTCCTCAATGGGAGGCCCCCAATTTTAAAAGAAATAGAATGATTGTATTCATTCTATTTTATTCATTCATTAAGGGTCACAGCAGAGAACATTGTTATAATTAGGAAATTCCTGCTGTACAACACCAATCACCTTGATCTGCTGTAACTTTATCTGAAGAATTCTACTGAAGACACAGAGAATGTGTTAAACACTGAAGTTGTGAATAAAAAGCAAACAAATGAAGCTGCACTGCAACACTTTCCAACAAGGCTGGACACGAGGTCAGTACCCCACAACAAACACAGCACCCCAAGCCTCAAGGTGAGAGCAGCATGAACGAGAGGTTATGATCATTAAGAACAAATAACTGATTAATGATTGCTGTTCCCAGTTAATAATTAGCCCTCTGCCAATCTGGGCTGGCCCCTGTGCTTCCATAAAGAGCATCCCCGAGGGCAGGGGCAGCCCTTGCTGTGTCCCACCATGGCATTCGCTGGCACCTGGCACATCTACGCTCAGGAGAACCTCGAGGCCTTCCTCAAGGCTCTGGGTAAGTGCCTCCTCCTCCTCCTCCTCAGCCACTGCCAGCACAGCTCTGACTGCTGTGTTCCCATGGGTTTGTCCTTTATTTCTGCCCTGCTTGGTTCAGTCTGTTTGATTGAATTTGGATGGGAAAAGAAGCTGAAAGTAATATATAATATATAACATATAACATATAATATATAACATATAATATATAATATATAATATATAATATATAATATATAACATATAAGATATAATATATAATATATAATATATAACGTATGACATATAATGTATAATGTATAATATATAACATATAATAAACCCCCAAAGAAGAGCTGTTGTGTTGATTACCTGTAATTTTATAAACATATATAACTAGAAAAAGCCATCCATGATTTATTCAGCCTCCCAATTATTGTAGAGAAGCCCTTCCTGCAGCAAAAACGCTGTCAGTAATCTGGGAATAATTATCACCTAGAAGTGGTCAGTAACCTGGCAGTGTTTATCAAGTGTGATAATGTCAGTAATCTCTGGGTGATTATCAAATCTAATCTGGGAGGATTAGGAGGTGCTACACCAATAAATGTGCACTTACCTTTGCCAACAAAAGGTTCCTGTTGGGTTTTGAAGAGGAAATAGGAGATATTCAGGAGAGTGAGATGCAGTTCCAGTTGGCTACACCAATAAATGTGCACTTACCTTCGCCAATAAAACATTCCTGTTGGGTTTTGAAGAGGAAATAGGAGATATTCAGGAGAGGAAGATCCAGTTCCAGTTGGCTACACCGATTAATGTGCACTTACCTTGGCCAACAAAAGATTCCTGTTGGGGTTGTGAACAGTAAATAGGAGATATTCAGGAGAGGGAGATCCAGTTCCAGTTGGAAAGCCTGGTCTGACAGCGTGACAGAACCAAACCCTCTCCTGGTGACAATGACACCTCCAAATCATGCCAGGGACACCCCAAAAAGGGAGTGTGAGGTACTCCCAGTGTTCCAGCTCTGACTGGACAGATAATCCCCCAACTCCCTGGGAGAATACAGTAATGCACACGTGGTTCTTTTCATGGAGCATCATCACACCATGGGCAGCCCTTACGACAAGAAACTGCATAATGTGACACATCACCAGATATCACACCAAAACCTAACCAGAGTAGAAGGAATGGAGCAAAAAAAACATAGAGAAGAGAGAATCCAAAGCAGGATTTGTCTTTTAACTTGGACACCACCTTCCAGTACTGGTTTGGGTCTTTTGTGCCTTTGCTGGGAGGCACAATTTGCTATTTTGCTATTTCCATAACAAAAGTCCTGTTTTGCCTATTTTTGCAGGGTTGCCAGACGACACCATCAAAATGGCCAAAGACATTAAGCCTGTTGTTGAAATACAACAAAAAGGCAATGATTTTGTTGTGACATCCAAAACACCCAACAAATCTGTAACCAACTCATTTACACTGGGCAAGGAGGCTGACATCACCACCATGGATGGCAGGAAGCTGAAGGTAAAGCATTCATAGAACAGGACATCTTTATTTATTCCTAAACCTCAGTTTGTGTGTGAGTGGAATTTGTTTGTACCAGTTCAATTTGCAAATATTTCTACCACTTTAACAAACAGAAATGCTCTTAAAACTCCTATTCAAATGCTCTCCAGTTCAAATTAACAGCTGTCATTATGAAACAGGAGTGTAATTTATTTCCTATTAGTCCTCTACTTACTGGAATTGAATGCCAAAATCTAATTTTTAAAAATGCTTTTTAAATGTCCCAACAGTGCACTGTGAACTTGGTCAATGGGAAGCTGGTGTGCAAATCAGACAAATTCTCTCATGAGCAGGAAGTAAAAGGAAATGAAATGGTGGAGGTAAGTGCAAATAAGTGAAAATAAAGGCACTTGCAGAAAAATGCTGAAGGAAAAAATGTTGATTAGCTTAGAGTGGATAAAGACTGCTCCAAGCAGCACAACCAACTCCACCTTTTCCTTCATGCAAATGTTGTACATATATTTAAGTGTTGTACATATATTTACAGGCAGGTGCTGTGATTGTGTTTTCTTGTGGACTAGGATGGATTTATACATGAATTACAGACACTTCTGCCACTTAGCTATAAAAATGTGTATTTGTCTCCACAGACTATAACATATGGTGGAGTAACACTTGTCAGAAGAGGCAAGAAAGCCTAAAGACAGATCCTCCTGTGTGACACCTTTACATACCTGAAATAAAGTGCACTTTCCACAAGGTGTGAGCTCTGTTTTATCTGAACAAACAGCACAGGAAATCACGATGATTTCTGCTCTCCTTTCTCCCAGCAGTCCCTTGTTACAGGACTGTGTTTTCCCCTCTGTCCTCAGTGACAGAAATTTGCCTCAAGGACAGCCCAACCTGGATAAATCACACAGCTCCAGCTCAGCACAGTAATCCTTGGGAGCAGCCAAAAGCTACAGAAATGCTCCTTGAATTCTCACACACAGACTGGACACACTCAGCTTTAGTTCCTGCTCCTGCTGCAGGTTAGTTTTTAACCAAACCTGTTCTCTGTGACCTGGCCAGCACAGAACAACCAGGCATTTGTTGGGCTGATCTGAACCACATGGCCCAGCAATAGAAACAGCAATATCTGAAAAGCTGTGAAGCACTCAGCAGTCATTAACAACACGGATGGCTGTTCTTAAACTGAATTACACAGAAGTGCAATTAAGAGGCACTACAAGAGCACAGAGAATTAAACATTCTTCCAATTTGCAATGAACTCCCAGTGTCTTGTCATGGCCCAAGTCTGTGAGGCTGAAGTAAACCAGACTCTGTTCAGAGCCTGTGTCTCTATTAAGCATAAAACACACAGGAGATTAGATCCTATTATTGTATCAGCAGCCCCAATTCACAAGTGAAGTCACTGCAGATTGGTTAGAGTTGGTTTTAGGTGCAAGACCTCATGAATAAAGCTGCTGGACTGATAATGCCATTTAAAATCCTCATGGGGAGGTTTATCCCAGTGAAGAGTGCTGAGTTCCCATCTCCCCATGCTAGGAGAGCAGTTTGTGAGGGGAGAAGCTGGGATTTATTACCCACACAACGTGATACAAGCAATTTGGGAAGTGCATTCTCATTCTGGGATAAGGCTGCTCTCAGGGGGAGTTTCAGTGGCATAAAGGATCATTGTGCTCATTCTGCTTCCCAGGCAGCTCCAATGCCAGGCACAGCCCTGCAGCCAGAATGAAATTCCATGTGAGTTACACAGAAATAAGATCAGCAGCACAGAAATCGGGGCTGGTAAAGCTCAGGGAGGAGGAGGAGGAGGAGGAGGAGGGTGTTTTAAAGCTGCTTTAAAGCACTGGTGCTGCAAAAAGGCACCCAAGAACTCAGCACCCTTCTCTCTGGGAGTTGCTGGGGAACTGCTGCAAACACACCCTGAAACCAAACCAAACCAAACACACGCTGTGGCTTTCCAGCAGGAAATTCACAGAGTGCTGCAGGTCTGCGAGGATCAAAGGCTGTGCCTGCAAACTGGAGGTTGGAACATGCAAAACACCTCAGGTTTATTTCCAAGCCAAGGCAGAGAGCCTTCATTACTCATTTCAAACCCGTTACAAAATCATTGCTGCAGATACCACACACTAAAAGCACACTGACCTTATTTAGAACTACAGCTCATGCCAAGTCATTCTAATGGCTAAAATTCTAAAAAATTAAAAGAACACTTCACCTGGCTTTCTTCACAACTGCAACGATTTCATTTTTCCAGCAATGGTGGCAATCTTTCCCATCCTGCTGGCAATGTCCTTCAGCCACAGAGCAGCCCAGATTTGGGTGGAATATTCAGTGCAGGTCCTCATGTGAAGCAGTCAAACCTGAAGGATTCTGATCAGGCTGAGATCTGTGTCCCATGGCCCAAAGGAATGAACATTCCTCAATGGCATAACAGCCTGGGATGGCAGCTCTGGAGTCACTATTCCACAAAAACAATTTTTCTGTGCATTTTTCTGTGAAGGACTCCACTGGAGTATTTATAATCTAACTTGGATCTTGTTCCAAGTTTTGATTCCCAACCTGACAAGCTCTGACAAGGTATTCCTGGCAGCATGGATTCCTATCCATCAAAGTCCACTCTCTGGTAAATTAATTGTTTTCAGAATGTCTGTAAAATGGTTTTTTTTCTTTTTTGCTCTGTGCCAAGCACTCCCACCACAATTCCAGTCTCTGATGTGCGTTCTTGGCTGGATTTTTAGGTTCTTTTAATGATTTGTGTGAGCAGATCTGTGTTTATATTGCACAAGGTAACAACTCGACCTGCTGCTTGCATACAGATAAATGCTAACTGTAAATATTTAATACAAAAAACATGGTCAGAGATCCTCATCCCTTCTCTGTTGAGTCCTGCACACAGGCCCTGAACACACAACCACATAAATTCCATTTTTTGGAAGTGTGTATGTCTGCACATCTCCCATGTTAGTGACTGAACTTCATCTGCCATTCAAACTTGAATCATCTGTCATTCAAAACCTGTAAAAATCAGGCACTTCTTCATGTGAGATTGCCAAGATATGAACAGCAATGTCCTCCCACCAGTTTCCATTCATGAATATTAAAAATAAAGATGAAAATACACTGGTGGCAGACACCAGGGCTGCATCAGCTCCAAGTCTTTCTGTCCCTGCAGGAGTTTGCTGCAAATCCCTCACATGAAAATACAGACACTTTTCACTGAACTCTTCACCAAACCCTGTGACTGTGGGGTCAGATGTGCCTTTTATCCACCTTTATGGGAGTCACACATGAGCGTGGTGAGAAATCATCTCTCCACCCACCAACTGGATTATTTTCATCACACAAACAGCTTTAATGGAGAGGGCTGGTCCTGTGCAAACAGCCTGGTGACAACTCCTGGGGCTCAGCAGGGCAGTGGGCAATGGTGTTCTCCACAAAAATTGCATTAATTACTCCCTGTGCAACAATAGTTACACACTCCAGAGAGACACTGGTAATTTATTTCAGGGTTGCACAGTTGGGGCCCTGTGGGATTTCACAAATCGAGCTCACCAATGATCAAAATTTATTATTATTTACACATTTTAGCAAACAAAGGAATTAGTGTGCCTTGGCTACAGGTCACATAGTTCTGAATTAGTATTCCATCATCTCTTGGTTAATTATTCTGTTGTTTCTCATGTTAATTAGTCCCGTTGTCTCCTTTTGGGCCAGTGGTCTGTGGGTTGGTGGTCATGACCTGCCCCTGCAGATGTAAAATTACATTTACCCAGTTGGAGATCATTTCAGCACGGTTGCTGAGTTGGGTTTATTAGTTTCTTCCTTATCTTGGGAGCTCTTGCCAGATGGCCCATAAATTCTGCATTCTTTGTGTCCTCTATCAGCGGGCATCCTTTTTTCTCCAGCTTTGTTAAGCTCCCCCTAGGTCTGAGATCATCAAAGCATGTCCAGCCCTAAACTTCAACAAGGCATTTCTACCAATTTATTATTCTAACACAGGGAAATCACTTAGAGCTCGTTAGCTGCCGTTTCACGGGTTACATCTCCCTTCTTGTTGATTAGGCTAGAAAGCATAAAAACGTCAAACATCAAAGAACACCTTTTCTTAACAGAACTTATACATACTCCACACTTTGCGACAGCAATGCCACAGGACAACGATCCCCTGAGCCTCAGGAAGGGCGTTAGAGCCCGAGGCGGTGTCAGTTGGGCGCACAGGAGGGAGGCACGGCGCCGTGAGGCGGTCGCACAAGGCCGGGCCGCGCTCTCCCCTCACGGCGGGGCCGCGGCCGCCATCTTGCCCCGCGCGCCCTCCCCCTTCCCGCTCTTTCGGCGGGAAAAGCGAGCGGGGAGGGATGCGGAGAACATCGCGCATGCGCGGTCCGCACCGGCGGGCCCGCGAGCTCCCGCGCGGGGCCGAGGCGCATGCGCGCTGCCGGAGCGGGGCAGGATTTTGGCGCCGCGTTTCGCTCTCGCCGGAAGCCCCCCCGGGAAGTCTCGCGAGAGGCGGCGCGCGGGCGGGCGGTGCAGCTCCCCCAGGGTCGCCTCAGCCGCTCCTGCCGCGCCCGGGCCGCGTTCGCTCCTTCCCTCCCTCCTTCCTTCCTTCCTTCCTTCCCTCCTCTCCTTCCTGCCGTCCGCCCCGCCGCCGCCGACATGTCCCGCTACCTGCGGCCCCCCAACACCTCGCTCTTCGTGCGAAACGTGGCCGACGACACCCGGTGAGTGGGGGCGGAGCGGGGGCTCGCGCAGGCTTTGGCGGGCTCGCTAGGCCGCGGCCGCGGGGATCCCCTCACAGCAGGGGGAGGGGAGGGAAGGGGGCGAGCCCGGCCCGCTCCTTCCCTCCGCCTGGCTTCTCCCTTCTCCCTGCCCTGCCTTCCATTTTCCTCGCGATGCTGCTGGTCGTTCCCCGCCTCTCCACGCGGCTTCGTTTCCAAACAGCGTCCAGGCAGAACAAAGCTGGGCCGCAACAAAGTGAAACTCCCGCAGCCCTCGGAGCGTGTCCGGCGGGATGTGGCACCGGGGCCGTGCCGGACAGCCGCTGCTTTGGGATGCTCCTCTGGAAATGCACGATTGCTGCTAGATGGGAGGAAATAGAGAGTTTGTGCCCGAAATTGCTGCCTGGCCGGTCCCGTTAGCGGGGAGCTGCTGCCGGTGCAGGTGGAATGTTCGGTGCTTGTTGGGTACCGGCGCCTCTCGGGACGCTCAGTCCGGAGCTGAGGGAAGCAATGCTTGGTCTCCGTTATAATCGTGTGGTTCTGAAAGCCTGTAAGGACTAAACAGTGAGAGAACTTCTCGTAGGGAATTGAAACAACAAAACCAGAGCGTTGCACATGTTCTTATTTATTCCTGGTATGCTTTTGGTGAGCTGCTGGTTTTCTTCATTTCACTTGGGCAGTTTAGTGACCATAAACACCTTTGGTGTTTGTTATTGTTTGTGGAACATTTACACATCGTCCTGTGGGCACGATGAAATGAAATTAAACTTTTTTTTTTCCCCCATGAATTTGCTCATTTTTCCAATAGTTTATTTTACTTTAAGAACAGCTAAGGATGATCACTTCCAAATTCTTTACAATACTGTGGATCCTGTTGAGGATTCACCTTAAGCACTGAGTTCTTGGAGTGATTTCATTGTGAGATCTCCCCTTCTGCCAGCACTGACTGTGGAGATTTGTTTCCCAGCTGGTGCAAG